CCTTGTGCTTTACTGCCTGGTTGCCACGCTGCATGCCATGTTGTTCCTTGCAGTTGCTTTTGGCATTACGCAGCCATGTTACCTCTACTGTGTTGCCTGGCGCTTCGCAGGGTTGCTGCCCGCTGCTATGTTTTGCTAGGGGACAGTCTGCATTATGCAGCCATGTTCCACAGATTGTTGAGGCTTCAGCCTCCTGTTGGTCCAACTCTGACGAAACAATCTATCATCAGTTTTATTTTTTTCAGTCTTCGTTTGTTTCTGGGACTTAATTTTTTGGCTTGCCTGTTTTGTCTGCTGATGTGTTGTTGCCCACCCGCCTCCCCCATGCCCTCCAGCCTTTGCCTTTTGCCATGCATTGTTGCCCTGCCTTTGTGTGCCCGCCCGCCTCCGAGTCCCCCTTGCCCTCCAGCCTTTGCCCTTCGCCGCTTCATGTTGTTCTGTGCCTTGTCGGTGGTTTTGTGTCGTTTCTTTTTTTCGGTTGACTGCCCTGAGAGGTTGCTTGTTATAAATTGTCTTTTGCCTTCATTTTACAATCTTGTGGCCAGGTGCCTTTGGATTCTGGTCCTTTGGTCTTGGTAAGGTTGGTGAAAGATAGAGGTCGATGTATGCACAGGTTCTGTCGCTTTCGTGTTTGGGATGTGGGTGCCTTCCCCATACAATGCGTATCACTCTCTGCTCTGGTATGAATTTCGAACACTTTCAAACACAGCTCGCCGCAACTAGCCTCGCTGTAGCCTTTCTATACTCTATACAGCGCGCGCGCACACACACACACACACACACACATACAGGGGTATAGGACCCCTATTACTCTATAGCTGACTTTGAACAGGGGCAAAAAGCCGTGAAATGGTTTTGATTTTTCTTGAAAAGAGAATAATAAGCGACTTATGCTCCTAACCCTTACCCTTGGCTGAAAAACGGGCCCGGACGTGTGCGCCCGAACTGGTAGTCCAGCCAGAATCCGCCCTGAAGGTTCTCGACGGGATTAAGGGCCCGGACTGAATTATGGAGTCTGTACTGGGACTGAAAATTAGTGAAAAAGGTGAGATCTGTGGAACCGCGTGAACTACGGGCAGACGGTAAGATACTTAATCGAAGGGTAGTGTCGGACTAACCCTCTTTTCCTGGTGAAACAAGTGCGCCTTTGCATTTGGGTTCTTCTATACAAGGACCGCCGTGCAGAGACGCACTCGCTTCGCCGGCCAGAATTCTGCCGAGACACCGTGTTTGCCATACCCTCGCCATACCCCCCGCTCTCCTTTGTTGCTCTCACACGACTCGCCTTGCTTGCTGCTAGGCCATCTGGCCCACTTCTAGCGCTGCCTGGAGATTACCGAAACCTTTGCTCTCCAGCTTGTTCATCTCTGTGAGGGGGTTTGTTGATCTCACACCTGCTTCGATTGGATACCTATCCCTTCCCGTATTTCTGTTGAGTGCCGTAATGGATGCTCCTTTTAGTTTTGAGGAGATGCTTGACATGCATCTTGCGGACGAAGGGATTGAAGCCGCACGTGAGGAAACGCAATCGGAGGTGAAGTTTATCATCATCCACTCTGTTAAGACCCCTTTTTTCAATAAAAACTTTCTTTTTTCTTTTTTCTTTTTTCTTTTTTCTTTTTTCACGTATGTATCCTTACAAACTAATATGGTTCCCTCATGCATAAGATCAGCGTTGTATTCATGTGCTATCCTATTATGGATTACCTCTGATAAGCTTGCCTTTGGCAGGGCAGGCGAAAAACATGTTTAAGTGTTCTTGCCAACACCCCGGCCAAATATAATGACTGTGCTTTCACCTACCCTTGCTGTGGTAATATGGTGATTGAATTTATGTTGTGGGAACCTCTTATTGTTACTTGTTAGGAGATATCTAGATTGTCTTTATGAACGACTCACCACTTCTTTGGTTGCCTCCTTCCCGTCTGTTCGTGTGTGTCATCGTGATTGTTGCCTGTCCTCCTCTGCGGTAATTTTTCTGGTTCATTGATCGTGAATGTTTTGCGACTTTTAAATGGGGCAATCTAGAGGATGTATGCAGGATGACTTCTCAAGTAGACTGGATGATTGCTCTTGAGCGGTGCTGATATGACATCATTGAAGCAAGGGTCGCAGCTGTTGTTTTTCCCGCGGATATGTGAGGGCATCAGGGTTTGAGTTTGGGAACGATTGGGTGGAGACAGGGAATTCTTGATAACAATTGGGTGTTTGCGATCGTCCGGAATTCGAGGGGTATATGTGTGTGTCTTCAGGGTGAATACGGATAGTTTGGTATGGGGTAGTTGCGTAAGGAATGCAGTGAAGTGGTGGATGTGTGAGATGCTTGTAGGCGAAGTACTTGATGACTCTAATGAGGACACAGAGTGGCATTCAGTCATCCTTGCTCTTGGTACTTGATCGACGCGTAATAGTTTGTTGAGCTGGCCTGATGATGGCCTTAGCCTCATTGGTACATGGGGTATGGTTGAATGAATGGGTTAGTGCTGAGTAGTGTAATCCCCTCCTGTCTATGTGTATGTACTCCTTTAGCTAATACCCATCTGATGAGTGTACATACTGGACTGAGGGACTGGATATGGGACTCAACCGTAGCAGTTTGGTGGGAACCCCTTACTACATAATGCAGTGGTACATGGTGAGTCTGTGTTCTTTTGACGAGTGGCTGCTGCGCCCAGCGGCTGACAGCACTCTGGTTCGATGATACGATCTTAGTGTAGCACCGCTATCTGCAGGTTACGCTGAGGTGAACATTGTTTTCTGCTGTGAGAAACTAGTGATGCTGTTGGCTGTTTGATGGTCACTCAACCATTTCTTTCTTTCTTTCTTTTTTAATAACAACAACTAGGCCGTAGTTGCTGGAGGATTATGCTAAGTAGTGGTGTTGGTCCAAGATTGAACGTCTCTTTTCTTTCGGTTGTATGTGGGTTGTAAATACCTCCGAATCTATACTGTTCCATATTTGTTGGTATTACCGTTTTTTTTTCGCTGCTTGATCTGCTGATGCACGTATGCAAATAAAAATTTCCCCTGATTTTTGCCCCCGAGTCAGTGAATGAGCACTCTGTACTTATGCCATGCACATGTTTACTGTAATTAGATTTTTGCTTGATGTACGCGGGAATCCTTGGAATTATACCCTGTGAGATGACGGTGAAGTGGAGCACGCACGTTTTACGTGCCGAGGCCTCCGCAATATGTGTTATCAAAGCACAAATCTAATTGCCGCAAGTTGCTACAAAGCACAAACAAAGTCCACACAGATGCATTCACCACATCTTCCTCCGTTCCAGCCTACTAGAAAGGATTAGCTGTTGACAACAACACATTGCCGCAAGTTGCCAGCAACAGCTTTGGTTATTTACAAGGGGGTGTTTCTACAAATGTCAAGGATGGCAAATGAAACACAAAGGTATGAGCAAGACACAATGAACCACAGGGTCAAGCAGATGAAGAATGAGTGGAAGGTGCCACAGAATGAGCAAGAAGGGATGAAATGAACAACAGGGTTAAGAGAAGCTGAACAATGAGGAGTTCAACAAGTTTCCAAAAGAAAAGCTGACACCTAATGGCTTCTAGTCCATTAGAACAATTAGCCATTATTCCACTGATTCCTTTTCATATAGGAAACTTGTTTTTTAAACTAATTCATCTTTGTTTATGCTACTCACTATTAAACTAGTTTGTTTGTTTGTTTTTTGTTTTGTTGTTGTTTTTGTTTTTTTAACTATTAGACTAGTATTAGTTTAGTTTTGCTTTTACTTCATTTTGCCACCATGAATGCAGGTCATTTAGTACCCCATGCTTGGCAATCTTTTGTTGAAATGATTAATGAATTCGTTCTAAACTTAGTCAATGAACAAAAATTAATGAACAAAAATAAGTGGTGTATCTGCCTGTGGATAATGGAGAAGGAGAGGCGGCGGCGTGGAAGAACAAGATGAAGAAGAAGAAGACTTATCATAGCAGTCTCATTGGAGCATCGAATACTGGAAAGAAAGATATGTTACCGCGCGTTCATTGAACGCGCATTCCGCGTTCAGTTTTTGAACGCTGTGAACGCGCGTTCACTGAACGCCCCTGAACGCAATTGACGCGTTCGCGCAGGGGTCTGTCGGGGCTGGGGGGGTGCCTCTGAGGCCGCGGGAGCGTCGGCGGTGTTTAG